ACCAAATAACACTTTATTTAAGATTTGTCAACAAACACATAAGAGATGATTATATAATTTAGTCTTCTATCCGATATGCGTTTCAGTTCTTCTGTTTTCCTTGTTCAGAAGAATACTAAACATGGCATACATTCTTCCTTTTACATAGGACTTATTAGGAACTGTTATTTTTAATGACTACTGCGCAGGCTGTATTCAAACACAAATGGCAACAATGATCATGACTATTCAAATTATAACATCAATGATAATAGTTGCCGAATACATTGTCTGCAATAGTCTGCATGAATGGGAATAGTCATAGTTGTGTTTCATCTCTGCGCAAATCTGGTATAAAACATGTTAGAGATAACCAGATGGCTTGTTGAGTAACAGAATATTAGTAAAAAGAATATCGGCGCGACATATGTGTGGTGCCGAGAATTTTGAGGAATGTAAATGAGTCTGCAAACGGAAGGACGACAAAAGCTGATGAAACCCAAGAACAATAAATATTGTCACAACAATTACGAAATAATCAACATTAATCGTATTGGACGTTTATATTTGGCTCCCGTCGGAGGGTTACGGTTGGGTGAACTAATAAAATAGTCGGATTATTATCGGCACCTCCATTTTAAGCGCGGCACTTCCAAGTCACATGAGCCGGATATATTGAATATAATATAATGACTGAGATTTGTGCAATGTCATACGTGTACACTATCCTTAATAACAATTTCGTAATATCGATTTTATTATTAAGATGAAACAAGCCGAAAATACAGTTAAACATACTGTTAAATCTGGGTCAGACGAATATAATATATTACGCGTCTATTAGAACCTGAATAAGACATGCTCGAGATGACCGTATACGTATACGTCTGCACGGAATAAAACTCGTAGACTTGAACTACAACTTTCTTTGGTTTCCAAATGCTTGGCTTGTTGGATTGGTTCTGGTTTCATGCTGAACGTCATGATAAATCAGTTAACGGTAATGACAATCTGCTAAATCTGAATTAAGATGACACACGTTATGAGCATTTGCATTGTAATGCAATTATATTTAACTCTGAATGGTAATTGCAATAAAGCATATTGTGATGCGACATAAATCTCGGGTATATCAAAATGTATTAAGATTATACAGATTACAACTAATCTCCGTTTACACAGTTGGCTGCCGTATATATTAATACATATTACAACATGGTGTGTTACTTCACGTGTGCCATGTGTACCATGAATACTATTCATAATACAAATACGTCATTGGCTCTTCAAGTACGACTATTTTTGTAAACTGGCCAATAACCTTGTCGTAGACAAGACAATAGTAAGTGGGAGAGGAACACGATCACATTGTTCGTTTGTAAACAGAGGGAACGTATGTGTTTATATTCCATATCACCGTATAATGGATCTTTTTACGCAAGTAATAAAAACAATGTATCGTACGAGCGTAAGACTTACCTACACTTTTGGCTGCAACAGCGTGCAATTTTTAGTAATTAAGCCGTCCTGTTTGACTTTTATAGACAATTTGTGACGGACAACATTTGTTGAAATCGTCTACCCTGCATATTAAATTCACTGATGTGACGATCTATACGACATTATACTAATTATGGGCGACTGTCGAGATTAAACTGAACAGTTATAATGAGAGCTTAGTGGAAGAAAATGATACAAACGAAATGGGAGCAATGTGACAAGTAGATTATGTGACCAATGTTCTGTTATCTGATGTAATTAATTAGCCAAAAACTCACCAAGAGATTTCTATATACAAAATGAATTTGGGGCATAACGAACGATGAATTACGTAAACCAAATAAACATTGATAAATGAAATCAGTCAGAAACATTAACGCCTAAATGACCATATTTGTCATGATGATTACTGTAATCACTTATTTAATTTATTTCCAAAACTTATCTCAAGGAATTTACCGTGTGTGTTTTAGACTGTTTTCCACGGATGAGTCATATAGCAAATTTTTTTACATAATTATTACTTATTTATAAATACGGTAACCAATCACACGAATTATGCTATTCAAATCATCCTCGATAAATGTTACTACGTCAGATATCTTTTTCTTTTCTCGAATGTTATATTTTTTTAATATTATAATCGGTATTTGTGAATAAAGGACTATTCGTTATATCTATGGATGGACCGGGATACACGATTAACGCATATGATTTATTGAACGAATTATAAAATGAGGTGGCTTTTTCTTTTGAAACTTGACGTTATTAATGTAATAAACAATAGGCAGTGTTCGGCTGTTTAGGAAGTGCATAGTACACATGAACACTAGGTCCGTGTGATGTTTTTTCTCGGAGAAAAAAGTGAGATCCCGAACGACCCATGTTCTCGAACAAACTTGTGTCAAAGATTTGCGCTAAAAGTAACGGTCATTTTGTACATGGGCAGTATGGGAGTACCAATAAAGTGAAAGGACTATAATGCTAAATTAGATGTATATTTGGTGATTATAATGGTTATTCAAAACACGATTATATGATTAGTTCTGAAAAACTTACAAGTGTTTTGTTGGGGGAGATTTTAAGAAACAACGACACAAATAGTGTTTATTAAACTTTGTATCAACAACAAGAAATCTCTCCGAGTATTATAACCACAACCTTGCATGCGAAATGAAACCCACGTGTGATATTATATACTGTTAACATTGAATTAGATTGATTTAGCTATGGCAATATTATGAAAACTGCGTAACGTTGATACATTGCCCATTAATTAAATGATATACAACAAATATGTCTTTATGTGAAATGTATATGTACCACAACGATAATAAAGTTTATCCTAGTAAACCCGATACGTATTTGAATAGAAGAAGAATAGTCGAATATCGAATACAACTAATTGTCAAATAGGCCCTCGTCTCTAGATCACCAAGACGTTTTTACAATTTGGTTGATTAGTGTCGTAATAGCATAACGGTCTTGTATGTATATTACTGCCTGTACATAATTTGCAGTCATTTCATTCTCATTATTAAAAAAGTTGTCCATGTGCATTTAGCGCTAAGGCATCTAATTATTGCAATTTGCAACCTTCCAGCAGTGTGCTCTTTTTTGGTATCAAAGTTCAGGAGTTGTCGAGTATGAAAAAATGTATGTTGACAGTTTAGCATATCATGAAGGTGGTCTGTTTCCTAATTGTCGATGAAGAGTTCTGCAAGGAGCGAGGACAAACTTAATTATACAGTTGTTTTTTGGTTTAAAGCAAAGAAAAAAAGAGAGAGAGGGGTGGGGGGAAAGAGATGATACAGTAAACAGTTAACCCCGCATGGTTTTTACCAAATTATCGTTACTTTTCCAATCGACATATTTTATATATATACTAGAGTAATCGAAATGGGAAGTAGCACGTGTTGTTGTAAACGCGAGACAATATAATAATAGCTAGCACTTTTTGAATTTTAATTACCTAGCCCCGCCTGCAAGGATGTGTGTGACTCGAAATGAATGTTGCACACATGATCATACTTTACCATTTAGGGAAAATGGCGGGAAACTACTCTAAAATTATTGTAATTAGTATATTTTCAATATAAATACTCAATAGGACTATATTTTCTATTTAAATTCTAATATATTTGCTTCTCCGACTGGGTTAATTGCAGACTCTCGACCCAATATCAGCTTTCAGATATAACCTGGCATTATTGTCATCATTGCTGTAAGTAGAAAATGTGTCTCATTGGTTTCGATGTCTAACATCAGCATGCTTCGGATTCATTTACTTTGAATACGTAGTCACATTAATATATACAATGTATAACATAAAAATAGCTGGCTTGTTTTAAAACAATATTTTGACGATAATATAAATATGACTCAAGTTCGAGTGAGAATATTTTTCAGCTTTCGTTATTGGAAGTTAAGTTCAAAGGGTCAATATCTGTCCATACGACCATATTCTCTCTATGCAGACTATATAACTTCATTTGTCTATAGGGGAAATACTCTACAAGCAAACAGGTTTAAACCTGTTCGGTCTTTTCTTATATAGTCCCTTACCCTATTTAATCAGCATCAAAGTCACTTCTGATAAAGATTCTCGGAAAGTGCTTTAAAAAGCACAAAGAATTACGACCATAGTAACGAAATAAAAACGCAGAAACCGTCCCGCGTTAACTTTCCTTTAACACCAAACATCGTAGATGAGTGGTAAAAGACCTTCAGAAGAGTCTGAACCACTGCGCGATAAGAAACTAAAGACTATAGCTTGTGATAGATGCAGGAGAAGGAAGGTAAAGTACAAGAGTACGAAAAAAAAACAGTTCTCTTTACAAACACTTGAAGAGGATTTATCAACGGTCTTTGCGGTCAATGTGCAAGTAGTCGGGAAAAAAATAGAATGCGAAAAAATAAAAGCAAAAAAAAAAAGGAAAAAAAAATAGACGGCTAAAACACTCACAATGGGAATGTATAAGCTGTAATTAAAATTATTGAATATTATATAAGGCAAACAAGTGTAGTTACACTACTATCAATATCCTATAATCGTCAACTGCACGGCTTACAAATCACAAACAACAATCGCTTTGTTACAACTAACGATCTCCTCATTCTTCATTCAATTGCAGGTCAAATGTCATGGAGACGGCTATAATAAAACACCCTGTAACTATTGCGTATCGGTCAAGCTTGAATGTACATACAATCAAAGATCTAATCGAACAACTAGAATTCCCGGTTCATCTAGTACCGCCACCTCTTCTTCTTCTTCTTCTACTACTACCTCCCTGCCTAATCAACAAATACAACAACGATCATTATCACCAACTAGATCTCCCTTCATTTCAACAACTGGTCGTGATCGAACATTACGTAGTTCAGCACGTGAGAGTACAACTTCTCAATCCTTATTATCATCTTCTTCTAATAGACGGACAAGAGCAATTCCCCCTTATTTGAAATCTGACTTTTGTCGCAAGGATGAATATGAATATAGAGTGGAATTATTCACATCAATGACTAATCAAAATGGTGAAGACTTGTTGAAGCAACTTCTTCGATATTATCCGCCCCCTCAGGATGATCCTCGTACATCAAACGGAGTTAACACTAGTAGTCATTTGAAGCCGTTGTCAACAGAATTGACAAACAGTCTTGTCAGTCTTTATTTTCAAAACTTTCATCCTCTTCTCCCGGTGCTGCATAAAAACTACTTCTTGAATAGATTGAGTGATACCAAGAAGCCAATATCACCGCTGTTACTGTTGGCGGTATGTGCCATCGGTTCGAATTATTCTGATAGCCCAGAAGCCAGAAAGAATCCTAATGACCCTCACACTGTTGGCTTGAATTTTTATGAAAGTGCTCAAGGTAATTTGCATGCAGTGTTTAACATTGGGGAAAAAGTATCCTTGTGTTTTCGATTTTTTGAATAAAAAATTTTCTCTTCTTTTTTGTATTCTCTTTTTGTTATAATCTGTTGATTAACAAAACCATTGTTATCTTATATCTGAACATATTGCGGATGATCGTATGTGTATTGTTTTTTTTTTATAGAGATGGTCAACCAGTACTTGAACGTGCCCCGCCTGAGTACCGCTACCGCGTTTTTTTTGCTAGGCATATTCGATGCTCAGCGTAGCTTTAAAGGTACAATTTACGTTGGGATGGCGACAACGCTTGCTGTTACTTTACGACTACATGATCATAGTTCATCTGATGGGCGTCCGGCGATCGAACAAGAAGCCAGAAAGAGAGTATGTCACAATCAAATATAAGTGAAATTAATTGTATCCGATCAAAAGACGATAAAAATCTTGTCAACAAGAGTATATTGGTTAATCGGCCATATATATCAACTATTATTAACTTTTTCCCCCGTTGCTTTCATTCAGTTGTGGTGGGCTATCCAAATAGTCAACCATTTGCAATGTATTACGCGAAATCGCATGCTCCCTTTCGAGGATAAACACTGCACAATAGGTTCACCGAAAACATTGGGAGACGATGAGGTAACGGAACGAGAATTCACCGAATATTTTGTCCATTATGTGGAGATTACAAAGATTATGTATGAAGTACTAGAACGAATTCTCAATCCGGACAATGGGAGTGAAAATTCAATGATCGAGCTCGAAAAAAGATTGACGCAATGGAAGAACGATTTACCTCCATTTCTACAAATTGACAAAGTCGAGTCATTGCGGACGCCTAATTCACGTACAACGATTGATCACGTACGAGTATATCTTTGCTTATTGTACAATTATGCTTTGATAAGAATGCACATCCAGAATATCGATAATGACCATAGCATGAGTATCTGTGCTGAAGCTGCGAATACTATCACAAATTTCATGACGGATGAGTTTGTAAATATTATAAATAGTAATCAGTTTATCATACATTGTGTGTTATACGCTGGATATATTCATGTAAGACATATAAATAACGCGGCTAACGCTCAACTGGCAGCAAAATCAAAGGCGCAAGTAATACAGACAATTAGTATATTTCAGCAGGTCATTGGAATACCCTCTTTACATTTTATACATTCTGCTACAAAACATTTAATTGCAATATTTGCCTGCCAACTAGAAAATACTGATGATATTGATGAAGAAACTATGAATATAGTCAAGACGGCGCTTGAACTCGTCTCGCCAGAGAATCGTAGTTCCAAGTCCATCAGTGGGGGTAGGCAAGTCTTGCCCGAACAATCACAAAATCAAGGTACATTAAATGTACGTGACGACAATAACCCTACAAATGCGCGAAATGAGCAAAGTGGCGCTGGGATGGAATTGCTTGCACACACGGCAGCCACTCGATCTCCCGAGTATCCATCCGCACAGCAACCGTGGCTCACTACTCAGCAATCGCAACAATCGGCACTTCGTCAACAACAACAACAGCAACAGCAAGACCAGCAACAACAACAACAACAGCAACAACAAGAACAGCAGCAACAGCAGCAACAACAGACTAGATCTCCATCTATTTCGTCTAGCTTTCAATCTCAAAAGCTCTTCCCTTCTTCAACATCTAGTCATTCGCCGATCGATCCTTCAACGTCTACGGTTACTGAATCAACGCCATCGCCGTCATACGCTCATTATCCTTCTCCTCAGCATCAACAGTTTCGAAGAGATGCACCCAATCTCTCATTGAATACTTCTCCGACATCAACGGTATCATCCAATCTTCCTCTTTATCACTCTGCGGCGGCTCAGACCCAATGGTCAGCTAATTACGCTACGTATCCATATCATATTCAACATCAGGCGCAATCGTCAATATCTCAAACTGATCCTCAGACACTTTCATCGCCGAATGAATCTACGTTGATGGATGCAACAAATTGGATGCCTGAACGGACACCAATGACGTTCATCAGGAATGCGATACCAGGAAGTAATCTGACATCGTCGAGTGCATCTCTTCCACCTCTTGTGCCCAACACTAATCTTCCCGTGTTGCCATCTATGAGTTATCAGCAGTTATATCATCAGCGCCTACCTCATATACAGTCTTCCCAGGCATCTTCACCTCAACCGCAAGCTCTATCTCCGCAGACTCCTAGCAGCCATACTCAGTCGTCTCCTACTCGCCGCATGTACTATTCTTCTTCCAGTTCAACAACGCCGACTACGCCTCACATGAATATGAGTATGAACCAAACCTATAACTTTAACGTAGGGGTATCGTCTCAACCTGAACTGACGTCCAGTATGCCATTAAATGAAATGTCTCAGATGAGCAGTGTTGGTGCTGCGGAGAGCGGTGCAAGCGGATCTGGTATGATCTCGGATGGAGCGGTATCTGTCATTCTTGGACCGGGGAATCAAGCAAGCAGAGACGAAGATGTTATGGTGCAACATGGAAGTGAGCAACAACATCAACAATCTCACCATGTTCATAGCCACTCGCATGGGCACGGTCAGGGTCATCATGGGCAGGATAGTATTAAAGTGACGCATAACCAGCAACAAACGTGGAATTGGGGGATGTAGAGGGAAACGAAAGGGATAGAGAGGGATAGAAAAGAGAAAAAGACATTGATTATGATGTAAAGCGAAAAGAGAAGTTTTTGACCTTGTACATATTTTATGCGCTTTGGACGATCTTTACCCTTATACGCAGGTAATTCCAAGTGAGATGATTGTAACTGGTGATAATTGGATCAATTTATTGTTATTAGTATAGAAGATATGTGTATTGCCGTGTTGTAAGTCAGTCCAAATTTTTATCCCATAGACTGTGTTTATTAACCTTGAATTTCCATTACAAATTTCCACATTTGTCCGAATGCAGACCTTGAACCCCCCACTTTACCACAAAAACTCAAATTAAGCTAGATCGGTGGAATAATAACTTCCCCCCTTACTCGAACTGGTCATTTAATATGGAATTGAAATTTGTATGACTTTGAGGAATGTAGGAGAGTATGAAGAAGTAAGGAAGATTAGAAGCTTTTATTCATGACTGCGTACGTATATTGTTGTTCAAATGACTCTTTTTAGCGATTCAATACCTGTTAGTGATATGTTTACAAAAATATGGGTTCGATAAGTTCATATGTGTATATATTATGTATATATATATGCTTTAGACGTATTATATGATTTGCATTAAGGTTATATCTGATTATGAACACTTTCTCCTTTATCAAAATCTTTTTTCTTTATTTTATTTTTTTTTACTTCCTTTTTTTCAATATCTGAGAACAACTATTTTACCAATGATCATATCTCTTATAGATACATGTCATCACCCAACTCCAGCCTCCTCTATTATATACAACACTCTCTATCTCTACCCATTCACCCTCCTCTCATTCTGATATTGCTCACTCCTTTACTCTCTCACATACTACTCTGACAATTGTCTTGTCTCATACTCGACTCTAACTTTGAAATTTCACACAATTTAAAATAACATAAAACCAATTCCGTGCGAGGAAAAAAAAAGATTTCAGATGTGATTTGTTTAGGGCATTCTTCAATCACTCGCTTGGCCGTGGTTTAAACTTTTCGTTAATCCTTATTAACACTTTTTTTCTTGATTTATATATATTGCGCATATTATTGTTGGATAAAGAGCGAATATAGTCGCTCGGAAGTATGTTCATGGGTTTATATTCTCTGATGATATGACATACGGTTAAAATCATATTGCACTTGGTTGCAGTGAAAATAAATTGCACTCGGAAAAACGCCGTCTCAGGAGCATTGTCATTCATATAAATGTGTTTTAATGAACAATGTGTCGTAATGTGTTGTTTGTTGTTCGTGATTAGATTATGATGTGAATATAGAGCACACTCGCACGTTATATAGAGAGAGTGACGAGAAACAGGATTGGAGTGGCCGATATTTTGAATGAGGGATGAGAGCGGGTTGGAATAATTAATAGAGGTAGATGTTGCCTGAACGTCCTCGGCGTCGGTTGGGTGTCTTTTATCTCTTGGGCTTCCTGCAATACTGTCACATGATAGACCTTCAAGAAGCATACTTGTTTACCTCGTCTCTGCACAATAAAGCCCCAATTGATTCGGATACTAACATTATATGAATAGTCACTTCTCATGTGATATTTGTGCTGAAGCAAGGAGTAATCATGTGTATCGCTATTTTCTATTGAAATACATGTATATTGAAATGTAAAGCAACGAACATTCACTGGGATCAATTAAAGCGAAAATAATTCACAGGCCGGATATGTTTATTTAGTGTAGTAACCGTGTCATTAAAGTAACTAGTTAGTTATCTTTTGAGCTATGCTTGACACTCGTGGCGTGCATGTAAGCTTAAATGATGGATACTAAAAGGGGAAGTATTCTATCTTTGACTGAAATCTGCCATCATATTCGGCGATTAGCAATGTACGTCAAGTTCACACAATTAGTGATAAGTGTATTATGCACAATATATATATACATAATAACTTTGTATATGCCTATTACTATCCTAACAAAATTTGCAGTCTAAAACGTTTATCCAACCAAAACATGGGAAATATAACTTGTTGAAACAGTCGAATACATTAAACTATACACTATACAAAGGTCTAAAGACTAAAAAAAAATTTTCACTTCGAACAACATTGTAAACATTGTTCTAAAATGGTTCTCAACACATTGTTGCCAAGTAATATTACTCTGTTATTTGCTATTATCACGATAAATGCTAAGCCATAAGCTTATGAGCCTAGCTGCAACTGAGACAAAGAATAAAATTCTTTTTCTGCCGACTAATGCTTAAACAGAACGCCCATCCGAAAATCTCGTCGCTCCTTACATAAGTAGTCAAATAAAGCTGAGAGCGAATAATGTAACAGCAAATTGTATTTATAGCTATTAAAAAAGAGTGAATATTCGAGGTAAAAAGAAAGGTTCTCTCATATGGTCTATGAAGTATCCTGGCATGGTTACTGTTGGCATACTGGGTTACTGCACACCAATATAATAATAGACGTAATAATGAATAAACAATGAATGCTAATGGCAAGGATACTTCCCTGATTTGATCACAAAATATATGCATTGAATGTACTATTTAAATAGTATAAATTATATATGGTAGTTAATAATGATGCCGAGTAGAAACATTGTATATTAATTGTATATTAATTTACTCATATCATTGTATGTGTGCCGAGTCATATGACATTATCTGTATTTATGCGTGAAATTTTTGTCAGTGTAACCTTTTTTCCAATAGGAGAATGTCATTATAAACAGAATGGTGAGAAACGAAAAAGCAATATTACATAAGCTCGTTATACAATAAAGAAATAATTAAAGAATTATAGAAAAGTAGACAAACAAATACGCGAGCATATGAACGCCGAATATGACTGGAAGATATATGGAAATGCAAAGAAAAAAAAAGTTTACTTTCAGTGTATAAAAATACGTCTGTGTATAGAATTCAGGGGAACATCCATTTTAAGGCGCGATATATAACTCTCTGTAGATGTCCGTTCAACCATTCTTGACAAATTTGAGCATATATTTTATCAGGAGACATTCGCACAGCAGCAGCAATGGCGGAAAACAATAAGCGTCGTGCATATTTTGTGACTACAATAAAAATTGTCTGTTAAAATTTATAGTTTGTAAATGTAGGCGCACACAAACTTTTAATCCCATTGTTCCCGAAAATTCATTTCATTGTCTTACCAAAACGCCTACATTATTGAAATTTCACATGTTATCCACAAGCAAATATTTCTCCACAAAGTTTTTTTTCTCTCCCTCTTTTTGTCCCCTAACAACAATTATAAGTGTGCGAACGTTAAAATTGAATGTAACAAAGTTTTATATTATATATCATGCGGATAACTCTTGTCGACCTAATTCAGTTAGATTAAACTCGCGACGGTCTTTCATTGTTGAACCATATCTGCTCGCGACATTTAGCCAGATACATAACCATTGTATTTGTAGCCTGTTTACAAAACCCAGAATGCTCTGCTTCCGAATTTACACGATATTGTTACAGCCAGACAATATTAATATATGCTCAACGGACATGAATGTTTAGGGATCTGCCGAATATCAGTACTACGACCTGACACGATGTACAACTTGGGTTGCAGATGATGAGCCAGTTACTAAGCAAACTTAATAAAAATTTTTTAAGTTTTCATTATTCATTTGGTCTTGAGTAAAGGGTTCAATGTATTCTTTGAGAAAGATGATTTATTGGCGAATACCTGATTCAATGGCCTGTGACGTCAAAATAATCAAAGTAAAGGAAATGGTACCACTTGCTCAATTTTCGTGGCATGTGGGGCCCCTGATGAACTGGCAAAACATTATGATTGTGCTGTATATTTAAACTAGAACAATGCCATGGGAAAATTTTTTCTCCGCATAAGTCTCAGATTAAACAATAGGCAAAGTCAGGCGAAAACAAGACAGAACAATATTAGTGCTCTCCCGTAAGTCTGAGGGAGACTCAAACAGAAAGTAAAATTTCACATATCGGAGTCTGTCGTAGTATTGTTAAACCACAACTTGCCCATTAAAAATACCCTAAACCTTAATTGTAACCGGACGAAAATTTCCATTGTGTAGAAATCACCGTTCGCAATTTGGATAGCTTGCTGTTCGGCAATCTCAAATAACGGAGACGAGTCGTCGCAACTAACAGGTATTGTCCTATTCCGCAATAAAACTAAACCTTCTCGGTAAAAGAGTCAAACAAATTATCAAATCCAAAATCTTGTAATTAATTACAAAGTAGATGGGTAGCTTTCTCGTTCGTTTATTCGTTAACAATAATTAATATGAATTGTTAACTAATGACATTTTAGACGTGCGTCTTATGTACATTGCGGTTATGAGTTTATATGTCAGATAAAATGCTAACGGGCCCAAAGACTAGAAGAATGACGAATGAATTGCTCGAAAAGAATGGACTTGTTAGGCCATAAATCAGCTTGCAATTCTATGTAGACTTTTAATAAGCGTCTCGCCGATGGTAAAGGTATCCATATTCGACGCAATACCGATATCCACTGTTTACGATACCAGGAGAAAACATCGGTAAATTTTACTATTTGGACTTTAAACAAGATATTTATTATTATTGTTAGTTTTTATCACTGAATTATACACAAAAACTCTACCTGTGTGTATTCGATATTTTTTCGAAACGATAATTCTAATTAATTAATACAGTAACCTTGTCTGCATTATTAGAACAAGAACGATACCTAATGTTACAAGTTACTGCTACTTTCATTTACAAATGCAGTGTACTATGTATGGAACCATTCGGAGAAGTAGCTTTTAATTGAATAGAATCACACATATTAAACATCAAGTTTACCTAAAATGCTAATAAACCCTACAGAAAAAGAGATGACGCGCGATAAAGATCTGGCGAAGAAAACCATTTGATACACACTTTCGCTGATGAGAATGTTCAGGTATGAATCCGTATCATAACACAGACAATTTTATTTCACCGATGATTGTTTCGTGAACAGGTATAGTTATGAA